CGAGGCCGCCTTCCGCGAGGACATGACCGCTGTCCGGCACGCCGAGGCCGCCTTGAAGGACTCGGCCGCGGCCTGCGTACAAGGATTGAATAGCGAGCTGGAGGACGTGCAATGCCTCGGCGCGGCGCTCAAGGATGAGGTTGACAGCCTCCGCGAGCGCCTGGCGAAGTCCATCGGTAGGCTCGAGGGCGTCGAAGAGGGCTGTCTAGCGCGAATAAAGCGCCTGGTCGATGCCCGAGTGGAGATTATCGAAAAACAGATGCACTCCTTTTGGGAAGAGGCCGCCCCGCTTGCCAAACTGCATCATTCTCTCCAACTACAGAAGCCCCTCGTCAAGGATAAGGCGAATACTGACGAGACATCGAAGCGCGTGCGTTTGGAGTATACCTAATTTTACACGGGAAGTGGTGACCAAAAGGAAGTAGATAAATATATATATATATATATATCTTCAACTCCTCCTTGTTAATGCGCATTGCATTAATCTTACTTCATAGTTTTTGCTTTATTGAATGGATGAAAAAGGAGGAGTATCGTCGTAGATGTCTTATTTTTCTATGTGTTTGGTATGCACGAGTAATTTCTTAGATTGTGCTATTCAATCATAAGGATACTGCCTAAATTCAAATACTATATCTTTTTGAAAGTGTTTTTAGAATGATATATATATATATATATCATTTAGTGATGAATTTTTCTTAAGCTAGTGCGATCTACTGTTTATCTTCTCTTTATGTTCATAACCCTTTTTTTTTCCTTTTAAGGGGTTGGAGGGTAAAATTCAGGAACGATAAGGGCCCGCGGTATATATTATACTGCAATCAACATATCGAAAATATTATATGAGGTGTAGACTAGGAGGGGTAGTGAAAAATAGTTCACTTCTAAGACGTTTTCCTTTGATAAAGGAAAAAAGAGAAGGGAAAGGCGAATTTCGTACGTTTTACGATAAGATTAAACACAATGAAGGTAAAAAGGATGAAGGGCCGGGCGATCTGTTTGAGGGCTTCCCACGTAATCCAATACAGCAAAAGATTCCTGATTCTCTTCGGGAGTTCAATAAAACTGCCATCGATAAATCGGAAAACATTAACTTCATGTTTATGATATTTATTATTTTCTTGATGATAGGAGTGGCACTTTTCATAGACCCTTATCGACAGGATCAATTCATGCGTCCGTACAAAGAAGGCATGGTTTCTATTTCTTACATTGGTGAGAAAAACGCAAGATACGATTGAGTAATTCAAAAATAAACCATTATCTCAGAAGACCATGATCACACAAAAAAAAATGCCTGAATAATGAAATTGATTTTATTAATCCTTTTTCTCGATATTATTTGGTCTAGTTATTCCAACTAAACCATGTTGCTTCAATCTCATTTTACCTTTTTAAAAAAATGTTATTCCTTTGAGTGAAAGCATTGTAGTTTAGACTGTATATGATAGATCCATCTGGGTAATTCCGACTATATCAATAAAAATCCATCCACAATCACTGGGAACGAAGGGTAAAAGATTCCAAAGTAGAACTTAAATTATGGCAAAAGAAACGGCGAAGAACAACTGGCGGCGTAATGAGGCGCGTATGAAAGTCTTCACCTTCATCACGATGGCTGTTAATTTGCTCTATACGGGCTTAATTATCTATCATAGGGGAGGATTGCCTTCTATTTACGATTTAATTGCTATTGCATTCTGGGCGGGCCAAGAGTATGCCACACTACAGCTTCTTAAAGGCTTTGCCATGCCATCTTTTGATGTTAGTGGAGAGCTGCTGAGCTGCCCTGATGCTTCCAATCCGAAGGAATTAGGCTACTATAGCTTTGTTCAGGACCTGCTGTGGATTTGTTGGACGGTGCAGACCCTTTGCAATGTGCATACCGCCTTTTTTGTCTTTTATTTGCCAGTCCCAGCCACATTGATTTACAAAGGCTGGACAATCGCGCGCCCTTTTCTGACGAATCGCATGGGTATGAAGGCCGCAAACGGTGCGATGGAAGGAGGAGAACAACCCCCCCGCAATCGCCAGGAACGACGCCGTGAAGAGCTTGAGCGGCGAAAAAATCGACGATCGTAAAACGCTTGGAATTAATGTCCTCTAAAAGAAACTCAAATTAAATTAGG